AGACTAATAAGTACTAGATACCCCTCCTCGATATAGTTAGCGTAGATACTTACTAACGCTCTTTCTATATCGCCTTTATTTTCCTTAGCGGGGAAGAAGAGATAGATTATATCTAGGTATTAGATCGATTACGCTCGATATATAATACCTACGGGGTAAGGCTACCGAGTATTATCCTCACCGATCGCTACCTCGCTTATATAAACGCTATATCTATATACCTTCTAGACGCGGTAGCTCTATTATACTTCTAGTACGCGAATAAGGCAGTCCTCCGCTATTACTTACTAAGCTTCCGTGACGATATTAGCGGGACGGAGGGCTAACTTATATAGTAGGATTTCTATAGGATATAGTATAAACTTATCGCCTCGATATCTAGCGAAACCTTTAAGTAAAGGCTCTAGGCCCTTAAGGAACGTTATGCTATAATACACGCTAGAGAAGTTAGCTATATTATAGAAACCTAGCTCGACCTATATAAGGAGAGGCTTATAAAGGCCTAGGTTAATAAGTATACGTATTTCGATAATATAGTTATATCCCGCGGTAAGGGTATTTACTAGCTAATTAAGATCTATCTTTATACGAATTAGCTAGATCTCTTTAACGCCTAGAAGTTAATTACGCGCGTAATCCTTAATTAAATAGCCTCGCTACGGGATAATTAGGCTAAGTAGCGACTTCGTATACTAATCGAACTTAATAAGAAGCTATATACTATCGTATATAGCTAGATCTCCTATAAGGCGTTACGGAAGGTCGAGGGCTAGAGGAAGTTACTTATACTAAATAAGGTACTTCCTCCTTATATAGGTAGATTTATATCGTTACTCGGCCTCCCTTACGCTTATATACTCGAGCCCCTTATAAAGGAAGAACGGCCCCTCTAGCTAAGCTAATTTCATATATACTAGCACCTTTAGTATAAAAAAAAGGCTATAATTCCTAATCGAGCTAAATAAATAATTCGACTAGGCTATAGCTTAATTAACGCTACTAAGGATAAGCACTCGCCGCGAGCCAAGCGCGTTTAAAGCTATCGAGGGGCTATCTAGGAAACAGCCTATATACTTAGCGTATAATAAGGTTAGCTATAAATTAATATCAAAGTTATATAGCCTACGCTACGCGTATATTATATCTTTATCTACGTTAGTATCAGCGTTAGCATTAGCGTCAGTATCAGCGTTAGTATCAACACTAGCGTCAGTATCAGCGTTAGCATCAACGTCGACCCAAGGTATCGCGGCTTTAGCGACCGTTATTTCAACACTATTACAGCCTTATCGCGACCTTAACACGCCGCCGCCGCTAGCATAGAGCCCAATCACACCACTACGTATACCCTTTAGCCTCATATTACGTGGTATTACTAACCTCTTTAATAAAGCTCGTGCCGGAGCTAACATCAAGGGTTAAACCGGCGCTAGAGGCACAGCCAGAGCTCACGCCAGAACCACAGCCAGAGCCCGCGCTAGAACCAGAGCTATAATTATGCTTTAATTATCTATACGCTATATACAAACGATATATTACTTATCGAGCCGCCTGGTACCAAACGCTACCATAAGATAGCTTAAAGACTAACTAGTAATATCGGAAGGCGATAGGCCTACTATTACGCTATAATAAGAAAGTATATAAATATTATCTTAATTATAAGCGGATAAGTAAGTAATATACCGTAAGAAGGCTACGTAAGGACTAGACTAAGGAGGAATAAATAGCCTATCTAGATTAAGAAAAAAAAGAGGATAAGCGAGTAAAGGCTTAGGTTATTATTAATATAGCCGAGGAAGTAGCTAGTAAGAGATCTATTCGTAGACGAGGGATATAGGATTTATAGGATATAGCGGAGAGGGATATTAATAAATAATAAGCGTTATATAAGGTATTACGCTTAGATTAAGAGATTAATAGTTCGAATTAATTAAGGAATTGTTTTTTAATTAATAAATACTTAAACGAGAGAAGTTATTGATATTATGAAGTTATTAATAGAGGTGTAGGCCAGCAGTGATACAGCGGCTGACTAAGTAATCCTATTCGCGCACCTAGGTGCGTAACACGTGACACTTATTTGCGCACCTAGGTGCGCACCTATGAGCCCCCAAACCTGCGTGACAAACAACAGGGAGCACCCTTGAAATTAAAAGTTTGGTAGACGACCATAGTCTATGTCGTCTCGCCATCGAAAGCATTGTCTCAAGAGCCACTAGATTCTCAAGATTTCGAAGTGGTCATTGACTTCATTGCCCTAGCAGCCACAATTGGCCCCCTGGGTTCTCCTTCGAAGACTTAGGAGAGAAGCCACGGGTACTGTCTCGACTGTTGAAGAGTCAATCGCAGCCCTCAATATGAATCTGTCCCCTGATATCGTTCAATACACCATCCTGCCACGAGTCTCGGATCATGCCAATCACCTCTTCCATCGCTACCGATGATACGCCTTCCCTTTATGTTCTATTCGTGACCGTGCAGGACATCCAGCTCGACGTCGTTAAACTGCGACGAGGGTAGCGTAATATCGTCGACGGAGGTGTCCCAGGCCAGATAGCTGTTCAAATCCACATCAGGTTTGGCCCCATGATCTTGCTTTACCCACCTCCAAAGCTGAGGGAGGGATTCCTCTGCAGCAATGCGTGTCTTCCTTGCACACAATTAAACCCACAAAATTTGGCACGGCATCTGCAGCAGCTACAGATGGCTGGTGAGTTGGTGAGTCGTCTAACGCCGAGACGAACAGCGCCACCACAACGGCCGCCGGCATCGTCGCTGACTTCAGACATTTATTGGACTTGGAAAGGGAAACGAGCACAGCTAAAAAAGGCTCAAGTCCCATCTAACCCTATAAGCATAACCTGAGTTCCGCTCGCATTGACCTAGAACGAGTCATCAATGCTAAGCAAGACACATCTAAGAGCCTTGTCCGACGCAAATTTACCAATGTTCGCAGACGCGGTTTCCTTGACTCTTCGACTCGCTTTGTCGGCCGGAGATCCTTTCCATCAGCCACAATGATCGAAGCTCTTAAGGCTGCTGTGTCTCCGGGATCAGTAGGTAGCAAGAATGCAAAGGAACTAGACGCAATTGGCAGTCTTCTTCAGTGTGACGTATCAAAGTGCGATGTCACTGACGCTAACAACGTTCCTCATGCCTTCCACGCACTCAAGTCTCAGATACGGCTGGTCAAGAGGTTTCCCAATGTGCCATAGTTTTGAAGGTATGTCTTTGATTCGGGATTCCGTCCCCTACCCTATCGCTCGTCTGTCACTAAGTCCTAGCCCACTTGATGAACCTTATAAATCATGGCCACTGACTGGTTCCAGACATTATCCGTCTGAATATGACCCATGCGAAATCTTAGAGAGCATCTACCCCAAGGTTCGCGGCTACCAGAACCTACTCGCCCAGCTTTCGCCGCAAGATGACCATGGTTCACACTTCTCCCCCGTCCCATGCGTAATCAGCAACGCCACCCAGTACAATGCTGCCTCGGGCAACATCTTTGAGGTATTATGCCCGGACCCATATTGGAAGTCATGTCACAAGTGTCGACATTGGACTGGTTTCCGACTTGTCTCATTTCACCTCGGCTTGTAAGCTCGTCAACTACTCGTACAGATATCAACACGGCTGACCTCTTATATAGACCAGCTTGGAAGCGTGAAATATTGAGAGCTTGAAAGCTTCCAAGAGCTACGCGGAGCTTTCGAATCCGGATGCGGAGGTCAATAGTCGAGAGTCCGAGAATGAGAACGTCTCTGACAGGCTGAAGAGCGCGTTCTCACCTCGTAGAAGGATTAAAAACGTATCTGAGAGCTTGAGGAGGTTGATCCCCCGCTCTCTTAGTGTCTCGGTTAACGATGTCGATGCTTAAAGACCTTGCCCTGAATTCTTCTTTGAAGGTAATGATTGTTCTCTTACTTTCTACACCGCTATGTAACATAGAGTAGTTGACTCTCTGAGCACAGTGGAAACGCGCAACAGAGCATGGAACTCTGGCATTAACATCTCCATGTTTGAAATCTTGGCTTCCAGTCCTGTTGCAGGTCTGCCTGCAAAGCTGACTTATCATATTGCATTGCTCAGCCCGGGGGTACGGAGACAGGAAAGAACTAGCAAAGATATTATCGCTTGCGTGTTTGTCAATGGTTTGATGTTTGAGGCTTCAAAGTAAGGTAAGCTAATCTCACTCTAAAGCCGTATATATATATAAGTATAGATTAGTCTTTTGGTGTCCTACCAAAGCCTCTCTCAACAGTTGGCAGAGAGGTATTGCGCCAGATTGTATTTCCGGGCACGACACACAAAATTTGGAGAGGTCTACAATTTGTCGGCCAGAGTGTCGCGTTGTGTGAGTCCAGAATTCGAGCCAATAATGCATCAGGGTGTTCATAAGAATCATGAGCTTTGATGACAATGGGATCTTCTACCGCTAAACAATTCACGACCGGTTCAATAGGAGAAGGGGCTTTTACACTTGTCCTTGATAAATTGTGGGCAAATGATCAGCACATGGAGCTTTCTTCTCTCAATCTCGCTGTTCTCTTTCTTCTCCTTGGACTCTCGTCTGGTGCCACCTGATATTGGAAATAGACCGCCTTGGGTGTGACGGCCACGTAGGCAAATGGATCCTTTTTGAGCTCAAGCGTCTTGGTGAGCCCTCAATGAACGACATCTGCCCCGATGCATGCACCATGGCTAGTAACAGTCTGCCTGTCTAAATCGGAGTGTTTGAACTGTGTAAGCCTAGGACAATGGTGCAAGCTCATGATTTCACCTGGAACAAAGCTTAACAAGAGTGACAAAGCCATGAACCGAGATCACGGGTATACAAACTGTGAGTACATAAATAGTCTTCTGGGCGTGCCTTTGGCAAAATGTGCGTGATGCACCTGACTGCATGTCCTGGCGTATCAGACCCTGAGGTCGTGGCTTTGAAGGTCTTGACACACGTCTCTGTATGGTAGGTCAGAATAGTGGTCAACGAGCCCCTAAAGATGGTTCTGCTTCCAAAGGGAAGCAATGGCGCGACGTCTCTGATGCTGTGGAGCTATCAGCTTTTGTCTCTGTACCCCCCCGACGTGCGCGTGGGTATTTTCATATTCTAAAACTTATCATCCGTCCTCGGAACACGGCGCTTACATACCTAATGCCAGAGCTCTTGTCTATTCTACCCAGCTAACACGCAACAATCACAAGTATCTTTCATGTCGCAGCTCCAATGGCCTCGCCTGAGGCTGGAATTAAGAATTCACTTCCCTGGACACGTCCGTCCGCACCACGTGGACCTCTCAGTTTCGAGTCATTGGTACTCACAAAATCGCTGTCCGACCAGTTGTCGTTAGAGTCCCATGAGTTGCCCGACGAGTCGACAGCGCCAATCAACTGGGCCTGGCCGTTGGAATTGTTTACGGCAAGGTTTTTGCGCATGTCAGACGATGAGCTGCGCATGACAAATCCCGTGTCGCCATTTTTCCAGGCCGTGTTGCGCTCAAATGTGATGGAGCCGGGGTTTCCATTGTCAATGAACCCCTTCTTGTAGTTTTTGTAGGCGATCGAGTTGCGGACAACATGGTCTGTAGGCGGGTTGCCCGAGATACCGAGCTTGAAGCCATTTCCATCGCCCTCAAAGGGGCTGAACCCCCAGCGGTTGTAACCGTTTCCCCATGCGTATACCTCCTCTAGCGTGACGGGCGAAGCAAACATGTACAAGTCGAGGCCGTCGTCGACATTGTTCCAGAGACGGGCGTTGCGCAGTACGTTGCCTTCGCCTTGGCCGCTCTTGCAGGCGAATCCATCGGCGCTCTCGCCGTTCTTGCGGGGGTCGCGGTTCATGTACGAGTCGAGATTGATCACCGTGTTGTTGGAAGAGGCACCCTCAAGCTGGAAGCCCGTCTCATAGTTGTCATGTGTGGAAAGGCCTTCATAGTAGTTATGGGATGCATCTCGTGCGTAGATACCGTATGGACCGTTGATGAGTCTGGAATATGATGTTAGCAAAAGTAGACTTGGCGGCCACGAGGAACCTGCTCGAGATTGTAAAATGCCCAGTATTCGGCATCCTGAATGTGGAAAATGCCTCGCTCAGGGTTGGGCAGGCCCTCGCCCAGCTTTTTGGGTGTACTGTCATCTTGAGTGTCAGCCAAAGCTTCCTTCATCAGTGGCGGATGGAGACACTAACCCTGGCATGTTCTCGCCGTTCACAATCACTTTCTCGCTCCCGTAGGGGCGGATAGAGATGGGGGAGGTCCGACTCCCGCTCTTCCCAATCTGGATGTTCGCAGATGGCGCAAAAGTGCCCTGCCGAAGGTAGATCACGTCGCCCGCGACAGCTTCGTCGACGGCATCCTGGATGAACCCGAATGGCGCATCGATGCTTCCGGAGCCAGAGCCTGACGGCGCAACGAAGATGTCGCGCGCACCGGCGCTGGCGACAATGGCCAAAAGAATTGAAGGTTTGCAGGAGACACGATGCATTATGAAATACAACACTGGGCTGTTTTCCGACAAGAGGTCAGGACCAGAGGTGCCCAACCGAGGCGATGGCGTCGATATTTATGAAACAAAGGGTGGCTAGTACTTGGTAGCCAATACCGGTATTGATTCCGTGTTTTTGGCAGGTTTCGACTCCATCTATAGTAGCTTCGGTATTGATAAAAAACCTTCCACTAATTGCGTTTCGACCTTCCAGCTGAGATGAGGCGAAGACAATATACTCCTTGTTTGATTGGTGGGTTATAAAGATCGCGACCGCAAGCGCACGGGGGCACACGTTCCGTCCTACACTACGTTTACATGCAGCTAGCCATTGCCAAAAGTACATCCGGCCCGTAGTCATGACGAGCCACGTACGAAGTACCGGTACTGTGGTTCAGATGCTGTCCCAGGCGTATGGGCCCGTGGGGCCGTGTTGGCAGGACACGCGGGCACAGTTCAATAGAAAAGTCAAAGACCGAGTCACTTCCTACCATCTGTTAGCGGCATAATTAGTAGATCGAGGACACCCTCTCGGCAGTTGTTGGGCCAAACATCAAGATCTGATACGCGCCCCCGTCTCAGACCATCGGGTTTGACAACGGACCAAGGCTTATCGCCCCTTAAATTTCCCCCTTATCGAGTATCTGGAGATCAGCCAATGCAACCTCTCCGGTATGGCCCTAGCAATGACACTCTAAAACCCTGTGCCAGATCAAGCGACATGGCAATTCTCTCTCCAAGATTGACCGCACCCGTACCATCGAGCCTAGTGCAGTGTAGTGTAGGAGGCAGCGGCAGCCTTCATGCAAATTGGGACTGTGTCCCGTCGATTGGACAGGCGCAAACAAACCGTTTGAACCGGCGCCGGCGGCCCCGCAAGCCCGGATGAAAGGCGGGGTTGATGTCGAGCCGCGATGCGATGATTGGTCGAGGATCCCGAGTCCGGACCCGGATGCAGAGCCGATGCGATGCATACGGCCACCCCGATCGAGGCAGCCAAGCATGGTACTTTATGGGAAGTGACAAAGTCTGCTTTAAGCATGGTAAGATCTGACAATATAGGTCGGACATTCCGACGCTTAGTCTAGATCGTGCCTCACAATCTCAACTTCAACTCCTAGGAAATCTAAGCTGCCCCACCGACACCAATCAGCGGCTGGTGTCTTGACTCCTGAGCCGAGGTTATCGCCGACAGGACCAAGAGTCAAGACCCCGCATGAACAGGTTGACCATTACACGTACATGCACGTGTACAATGGCGACTTCCAAGCTCCTCTTCGCACATCATCCCAAACATCCTTATGGAAACCCGATCTAAGCCTTGGTAGGAAGGGATTTTACAATGCCGTCATTCGCTGCCCGTCTGGTGCGGTGGTACATTGTCTGGATCCGTCGCGCCAAGGTCCTCTTCGCCAGCTCGGACAACACGCGAAACAGCATTCAGACGCTCTACCTTTGCCCACAGAGCTTCTCGCCTCCCCAGAATGTCGGCCAGGGTATTGTCATCGACCGCGTTGATGTGAATGAATGGCCTCTCTATCGGGTCTCTGCCAATGCGCACTCCACCGGCAAGGAAACGCGCCCTGCGATGCTCTACGTCCATGGTGGCGCGTTCTTCCGCGAGATTGATCTCCCACACTGGAAATTTGTCGCCCAAGCCGCCCGAGACACGGGTCTTGACGTCTTGGTCCCCATCTACCCATTGATTCCGAGGCCTACAGCGACAGCGGAGAAGATCGCCGCTGGACTCATCGACATCTGTCGGCTGTCTGAGCAGCGGATCGTCTGCGTGGCTGGCGATTCAGCAGGGGGCCATCTGGCTTTAGCGGCTGCGCAGCAGATGCGTGAGAGTCAGCCTGACTTCGCCGCTCAGCTACGCTGTCTGGTCCTCATATCTCCCGTATTGGACAGCGCCTTAGACCATCCAGAGGTAGTCCGACTGTCGAGGGATGACCCGTGGCTAGCCATTGATGGGCTGCGTGTCCTGACACCATTTCTATCCGCAGGACTGCCGATCAAACATCCTGCTGTTAGTCCCCTGTACGGTGATATTGACCATCTGCCGCCTATTCTGCTGCTTTGTGGGACTTCAGACATGCTCTGTGGAGACGCTCGCCGGTTGAGCGCTAGATTCCAGGGCAAGGACGCCAACGAGGGTATGCCGGGGAGTGTCCAGTTGGATAACTTCACGTACGTTGAGCAAGCCGACATGATTCACGTCTACCCATTACTGCCGCATAGCGAAGGGGCCGAAGCGCGGGACCTGATTATGCGTTTCGTCCGCAACAACGTTGAATAGCTGCAGAGGCGGGACAGACTCCAGATTTGAAAGTGCGGTCTACCCGAAGTACGAGACACTGTCTCCTATACATAGTCCCAACGAGTAGATTCTTCACGTCAAACTCGTAGGGACCAAAGACGCTATGTCAGAACGCTAGTGAGAATGAAGGTGATGCAATAACAGCCTTCGCTTGCAGATGTCTCGTCGTCTCGTGGGCTTTCTTTATCCAAAGTTGGAGCAGAGACCGGCTGCAGAATTAATAGAATTAATATCAGTCCCGGATCAGACTTTTCTCACTTCAGCTTCAACGCATTTTCCAGTCGCAGGGCGGATCAAGAGTCTTTCCTTATTCCTTCCCGGTCCTCTCCTGAATAGCAACCTGCATCTATTCCTTCTCTAGCTGGCACTTCTCAGACTTCGTTCAGCAACCTCCAGTGAACCCCTCAGAGCCCGGCAAGCAACATCGACGAAAGCCTTCACGACCGTACACCAGCCTCGCCTCGTGGAATCAACTTGGCTCATCCAGCCACACTCAAAAATGGCACTTGTGCGTACTGGCTCTTAATGCCACCCACATATATTTGATGCTCAATTCAAGCAGTTGCCCACCCCTATCAATGCGATGTTTACCTGGCTCCGTGCCAAGGTGTGCATGTCCTAGTACACGACCATCCGCGCCCCGAACGACTCACATGAAGACGCGGTGGACCTTGCGATTGACGCCATGTTCGAGGCAACGACGGCCGAGAAGTTGATGGCGCGTCATGAAAACAAGCCGATGAAGCCATGGTGAGGACATATGCCTCTGCGGAGGATATATAGAATGAGCCGTGCTCGAGGCGTGAGGGTGAAAAAGGAGAAGTAAACGGGCTGCTACTCTATGGCATACGCACTAGAGAAGCACAAAAATGCTGCATGATATTACATTGTGACTGAGATGGGATTGATTCTTCAAGATTAGCTGACAGGTTCTCCGTCCTGCTAAGCGTGCCGAGTTGCTGACAATGTCTGCGATGCAATTCCTAGCTCGACATGGGTTCAATCAACCCAAGAATCTCAGCCTAATCTGAGTGACTGACAAAGGGTCGTCAGCACATCAACATGCACCCTGTAGCCTCGTGCAGTCGACCAGCGGTGGATGCTCTCCGAGCACCCACAACCGCCCAGCGCGACGTCTTCCGCCAGCATAAGGAGTAAGCATGCATCTGCGATTATGTACACCAGTCGGACATTTATGTCTTACGCAACCAAAGAGTTAGATTCTAGCTCCCCTTGGCGGTTTTGTGGTTACATTACCATGCGCCTTCTGGGGCTTGGGTGGAATTTATCCCGGCGCTATGGATGATGTGGACCTCCGATAATGCCTCAAGCCCGGTTTGTGAAACAACCTGGTGGAAGTAAAGCCGATGCGATGATTGAATGCCATTATTAATCCGTTTCCTTGGATCGCGCATGAGAACACCGGCCGCCCTAATAATGCAACGGAGACATGCATTTGTAAGGTCCTGAATGAAGCATATATCAATTGTTCGTTTCGCCTCGTATGAATAAATGAGAGCAGTGATAGAGCAATGACTCTTGCAACAATCATGTCTTCCCCCACATCTTTCCTGATCGCTGGCGGAACCGGCCGTCAAGGTGGCGCCGTCGTCAATGCGCTTTTGGCAGACAAGTCGACTTCAATTCAACCCGAGGACATTTATGTCTTGACTCGAAATACGGAAGGCGCTGCTGCTACCGCGCTCGCTGCCCGGGGGGTTAGCCTTGTGCGCGGCGAACTCGGCCAGCCCGACGCCATCTTCAAGCAGCTGGCAGGCCAGGACGTCAACCTCAGCAAGACAGCCACGTTCCTGGCTCAGGCTCACGGACCGACAGAGCTGACCGACGCCAAAGGTTTCATAGACGCCGCCGTTACGAACGGAACGTCGTATTTCGTCTACTCCTCCGTCGATCGCGGCGGCAAAGAACTCAGTGACCGTGACGCGTCCTACTGCAAGACCTTCTCCGACAAGTTTCAGATCGAGAAGCACCTCGAAGCGGCCAGTGCGGGAGGCAAGCATATCAACTTCACAATTCTGCGACCGACGTGGTTCGCCGACAACGCTCTGTGGGGATTCCCCGGACAACTTTGCATGACAGGATGGCGCGAAAACATGAAGGGAAAGCGAATGCAGGTCGTCATAACCAAGGATATTGGACGCTGGGCAGCCGAGGCTCTTCTGCGCTCTGACGCCTCGGGTATTCGAAACACAGCCGTGAGCATTGCCAGCGACTACTTGTCGTTCCAAGACATCGACGACATCTTCCGCAAGGAAACGGGAAGCCCCGTCGGCGTCACCTATGGCTGGCTGGCGAGGTTGATGATCTGGCTAGTCAAAGATTTACGCACCATGTTCGCCTGGATCAACGAGAGGGACTATGGTGCCGACTTGGAGGAGCTGTCCAAGACGGTCAAGCCTACCACGTTCCGTGAATGGGTCAAGGAAGCCGTAAAGGCTTGAGAAGGTTGCCGTCTTGTAAAATGCTTGTGGATTACAGGGAGCGAAGAGAGTGAACCTGGAAGGAGAAGCTGAGATTGACGGTGGGTGACTGCTATGCTGATTTCCCGCTGCTGGAAGTAAGGCGTAATGGGCACCAAAGGATAAAACGCACCTGTTCAATTGCTCGGAAGATCAATATAGAGGAAAGTAAAGCTTCTCCGTCTTACATGCTGAGTATTGTGTACCGCCACTATTGCACGTTCAAAACCTCCGACAAGAAGCTTCCCGCTGACAACAGGCTTCCCTCCCGTTGCCTTCTGAGCTTTGAAAGCCAGCCAATCACTTGCACCTGTGTTGCCAGCCTACACTGACCTGCTCCATTGCTGGAGTTGTTGTAGAATTGGTGCAGTTCCGAGTCTCGTTCTCGTCGACCGTTCTCACCCATGTCCGGAATATGTCTTTGATAGCGATTTCGAAAGAAGTGCAAAACAAGAAACAATTTAGCCAGGAGCCAAAAGTTCAACGGATGAGTGAAAGCGCTGTGTCTCTCATCGTAAATGTCACGCACTGGACGAGCATTCCAATTCCTCAGCCAGACATCAAGAGCATCGTTGACGCGTCTGATTGCGGCGGACCCGTATTGATCGACAATCTTATTGGCAATATTTGCGATATCATAATTAAGAAGGTGGCCGTTCAGTATGTTCGAGAAATTCGCGTCTGTTGCTTGAGTTAAAGAGGCAGGTTCATCCTGCGGCACATTGTTCTCGTCATCCAGACTCTCCTCCATTGCCCGGAACAGTATGTTGTGAAGGGCGACTATGATTTCAAGCATCCCACAGTCTGATGCATCGAAAAGATAAGGGCCACATAGAGAGGAAGCCGATCGAAGCTTTTTGATAGCCGTTGCTACCTGAATAGGAGGAGGGGTACTTCGTAGCTTCTCCAAGCATTCACTCGCCGTGGGGGCTACCCAGCAATCGTTGTAGCATGGTGTGTCGACGTAGAACGTGAATGGTGATATGTGTGATGAGCTTCGTGTAAAGATGTTGCTTCCAATGTCGTCGACGAAAATGTGATGCGCAAGTCTACCAGATCGTCCAATGTTAGTTGTGCAGGCGATATGTACGTTGATATCTCCGCTCGCCTTTTTCGCATCTCCAACTGACTCCAAAGAAGCCAATCAAAGGAGTTTTCATCTGAATCCCAGTGATTTATTGCGTCACTGGCGCAGAAGAGACCAGCTCGTTCGGCCATCTATGAGCAGGAACACCCGCGATTAGTACTATACATTGCAAAGAAAAGTAACGTTGATAGTGGACGTACCGAGATTGTGCGAGCTCTATGCATCGTAGCGAAATAGTAAGCTTGGGGGTTCCGGGTCAAAATGAGGAGTTGACATAGTAGAGCATTGGCCTGTATAGAAGCCAATGGAGGGGCGCTCATTGATCTCTCGTGCTAGAATACACCTGTCAGCGTCCACATTTCGAAACAGTCACTGAGATACACATACTGAGGAGTATTCCAATACAAGCAGCATATGTATCGCAGCCTGTACAACAACCATGGGAGGAATGATACTGTTGGAATAGCATGCACCCACCAGCATCATGGCTGCGAGTAGGTCAGGTGGCGTCTTTGTGAGCTCGAATGTCGGTAAGTGGAGAATGGGCTGGATGGATTGATAACATTTCGCGTAAAGCTGGACACAATCGACAAGTCGATCGCGAGTTATGTACTTGGATAGGGTGGTATGGTCAATGCCCGTCTGGAAGCCTCCTATGTAGCTCCGTATCTCAAGGCACTTGGCTTCAACACTGTCGATTTGCTGCAAGTGAAGCCCTTCTGCGAAATTCCATGGAGACTCCCCCGGAATTGAGCTTGATTCGGTAAACCTCGACGAAGTCGTCAGGGCATTGGTTGCGGGGGCCACATTGTCGGGCCATTCTGGAAACGTTAATAGCGAGTCCCAGTCTAGGTCTTGGAAAGCATCATTGATGCTGGTTGAGCCGTAGCCTGTGAGGAAAGCCGCATTGATATACTCGAAAGGTGTATTGAAATCCAATCCGCTGAATTCCGGCACATCACTTTGAGCCGTGGTAGATGCAGTATTGCCGGGCGATGTTGGCAGAAGGCTGCCGCCAGATTCCGTGTGCATGTTCTGGGGTCGATGCGGGCGCAACTCTATTGTGTGCTCCGCGACAGGATTTGCCGTCGGGATACGGAAGACGTTGTATGGATCCGAGTATCCTTTCCTAGTGTACTCACACCTCAACGACTTCTTTTTGCATCTTGAGCAAGGATTTTGGGAATCGCATTTCATTCTCGAGGCAGCACACTCATTGCATGCCGTTTTAGACCGTGATGATCTTGTTGAAGTGAAACCCGAGCGCCCAAGTGTATCCTGAGCCTGCTGGCACTTTCGAATGTGTCGCAGCAGTACGTCGCTTAAATGCGTGGGCCATTAGATCATCTTTGCTGCTTTCGTAATTGCCTGGGCTTACAATCCCGTCAACATACCTTCGAGACATGGTGCCGCCGCACGGGCATTGGTACTTTTTGTTGTCCTCTGTGGTTCACGTCAGCCTCATCCGCCTGCGAACGATACCGATGTTTATTACGGTGCGAAGACTGTCGTTTCGATTGATCTCCACTTGCGAAGGGACCGTCCCACGAAGAACCGCCATCTGGCTCGAGCCCGGCCGTGGCGTTAGGGCTGTGTTGTTCCGACATGACGAAGCCTGAATTGAATGTGGTCTCATGCCAGCTCGCTCGAGCATCGAAATGATTGAGCAGTCAAATGCGGCGCCGGCTGACGACGGCTGCATCTGCCCTTACTAAGCGCCTAAGTTCCGCCCAATAGGTTCACGCCTAGGCGCGATTTTACATGCTCACGTGCAGGCCTGAATATTATGTAAGCCTTCAATTGTTGGCGCGGCGGTCTAGATCCACGCTGGCCCCAACTCCACAACTGCAGTTCTCAGGGGCTGCCACCAGCGGCCACTACTCCCAACACAAACGATTCCGGTCCCAGTCTCGGCCAGTAAGACTCTCGCTCATCTTGCGCCCTCACATTGATAAGCCACCATATCTCAGAATCATACTCATCATTGCGTACGACCCAGCGCAATCACACAGAATCTAGCCAGCTCCTCAAGCGGCGAGCTCGAGAGCGCATTCTAATCAACCGACCGCAGCGCCAGCCTGTTCTTCACTATAGTCCCTGCGGCAAGTCAGTCGTGCATGTTGCATAACATCCAGCTTGGCATACCTCTGTCTCTGCAACATCTCTTGATGCAGGGCTTGGGCGGCCGCTCTTCCTGCCTCTGATCTCAGCACCTTGCAAGCCTGAAGCACAGCCGCTCGATCGTCGAGGTCTTGGGGCTTCTGCCGGAGCGAATCCACCTTAGCCGTAAGATCACTGACTTCCTTTTCACACTTTGAGACACTCCTCTCGGTGCAGTGCCTGAGTTCGCCATGTACAATTTCCCTCTGCTTCTTGTTCTCCTCGATCCATCGAGCGAGGCCCATGTTCCGCAGCAACGGGCGACTCTCGTCCTGCGACAGTTGCCGGCCAAGGTCAGGCAACATACTGTTCAGCGACTCATCATACATGGTGAGCGACTCGTCCTGCGCATACTGCTCTACAATGGTGTTGCAACATTCTCTAAAATGGGCCAACTTCGATCTCCCTTTGGCTAGTTCCATCTTGGCGTCTTCCAGAGCTGACAACACGTATTCTCGGGTTTTCTGTACCGCAATCATCTCCGCATATAGCGTCGCGGTCGGGATTTCTAGCAGATTCAAGGCGATTGAGCGGCTGACAAGTGACGAAGATGCCTCATCAACGGCGCTGAGCAGAGAAGATGCTTGTGTCTCGACAGGCATCGCAGCGTCGTCGGTGCGCCCCTTGGGTTCGCCCCGCAACCATGCAGAAGGATTTTGGTGAGCTATACGCCCGCTCAAGTCTCGTGGATCAGGTTCAGCGTTTGCGTTGGCAGAGTCAATTTTGTTGTTGTCGACTGAAAGCCTGAGCCATGTTTGACGTTCGCCCTGTGGATCGAGTACTTCAGGCAGTCGCATCTTTCGATGAACAAGATCGGTCATTGCGCAGACGACATAGACCCCGCAATTGTGAGCATCGGACTGTCTCGGACCGTCCTGTGATAGCTGTCAGATTAATCAATTGACCGTAGAGTGTGGCTTACCAAGCTTGCAAAGTCGACCAACCGAGTGTCTTCCTGCGAGCGAAGCCAAGCGAGCAACACATTATGAACTTCAGCGTGGCTGGCCCTGTGAGGCAGTGGATCATAATGCCTTGCGAAAATTTGGTGCTCTATCATCTCAACAGATAGAAGTGACCAGTGTGATCGTTTAGGATGGTAGATTGGCGCAAGTAGATGGACGATCGAACCGGCGTCTATGTGTCGCAGGGTGCTCATGCTGCTCAGGCCATCATCTGACGGCATTTGAAACCAGAGAGGATCAGCGATACGCATTCTATGCTTGTCCAAGCCAAGGTCTGTGCACAATTCGCTGATCGCCGAGCTCGTGAGGCAAGCAGTAGGTGACTCCAGCAGTTCACGCACGGACATCTCAACCTCTGACAATTTAGGGCGCTTCCGATCCGGCTCCCCCTCAGGGACAGTCCGCACTCCATATCCGTCATCTTCATCATCGTGGAGAGAGAATTCGGAGTCAGGCCCTCCATATCCTCCCAAATCGACATAGCAGAGAGAAGAAGCCTCAGAATCCTCGTCGGCTTCTCCAAGCGCTCGCCGCGGGGGACTTCGAATTGGCGTGATCGCACGCGCTTCCGTTGCACCGACTACCGACCGTGAAACGTCGAGAAAGCTGTGCTCGTCCGGCAGTGGAGGAACTGGATGCAAGCCAACCTCGCAGACTTGAGTCTCTTCCATCGGCAAGGCATATTCGTTGCCCTGCGAGGGCTGCGGACAGACGCGCCTGGACTTTAGACGCTCCAAGACGGACAAAGCCATACTGAGCGTGAGACGTTCGTCTTTTCCAGGCCGCCCGGCGTCTTCTACGGCCTGACGTAGCAATCCGCCAGATGCCCATAGCGAGCGTATATCAAGCCCTTGCTCCTGTGTCTCGGTATACACAAGCAATAAGGTCTTTAGAAACTTTAAGCCTAGGGCTTTAGAGCTTCGCGTTCGCTGGGCTTTGTCTCCAAGTGCCAACGGCAACTAATCATCGCCACCCCAAAGCTTCGCAAGCTTGCGCTCGATATCCTGAACAGACTTTACTTTATTATCTCTGTCATTGGACCCGCCATGGAGCAGCTTCTCAGCCTCGTTCTTTAGGATGCGCGCTTGCTTCATGAATGCAGATAGATCTTTCAGTGTGTTGCTGCGCACAGGGCCTCTGGGTAGAAAAGCGGTGACTTGCTCGACGGAAGCGACACTGCTGGTGGCCGGGTCCACAATGTTGGTGACAACGTTCTGCAGCTGGGCCTGTTAACTGGGCTTTTAGATTTGAATGGACCAGGTGATGAAAGTACCACGGATCTTCGAGACTGTTCTGTGGGATCGACGAGAGATGCTCCTGACGTACGGGAGGTTCCAACGACAACAGAAGGGATACCGACGGTTGAGGACCACTGCAAAGGGAGCTCGCAAACTCGCGGAACCAAAGGGCGAAGGGGTTTCATGCCTCACGCGATGCGCAGTTATGATGTTCATTGGCAGAGGGGTTTGCAACTGCTCATGGTGCTTCACAGGGGTAGAGAAGAGTGAGAGAGTGGAAATGGAGTGCGCAGGGATACGGGGTTGTGTGAGCGAGCGATGCGAGGGCTGTTTCGTCTCGGGTATGTTCACTGTGAAAAGCGCTAAGGCAGGAGGCACACCGTGGAGCCTGCCTTGCGAAGGAAAGAACGAACACGCTGCAAAGGCGGCCAGCCAATCAATAGGTCAGGATTTTAAGTTTCACGGCATCCTGATTATCTGATTCGCTAAAGCCGTCTGCCTTCCCTGGCTATTATATTAGACTAGCTGCTACCTGAGCCGACCGCAGCTTCCAGCAATGTCTGATGCTGCAGCCTGCTAGTCTGCTCATAAGCATGCTGATGCTGATTGCGAAGGGAATGGTCTGATGTTGCGAGATAGCAGCCGCGGTCTCTCCCTCAAGTTTACAACTATCATTTCGTCCGACGACCCTTTTCTGCCGTCGTGGGGCATGCCCGCGACCCATCTCGAGGGGCCCTCGTTGTTGTATTGTAATACTCGCATCGCAAGCCCTTGAGGGCTTATCCAGAACATGACGTTTTGTTTCGCAATGTTGTGCGCGATCATTGGCCCTGTTTATCTGTTTATCGTATATATTGCTCACCATGATCGCGATATCTGCTATGGTTGATTTAACCTTCCCGAATCGGGAATGTGGCTCTCACGTAGGCCCAGGGCTTCAGTTTCAGGCCTGAAGATTCTCTCATCATTCGACAAACGAACCTAATCTCTGACCGTACTCTCGGACTCAAATGTCATGTCAGAAGTAAGTTTTGCCCGCCAGGTTTGGGGCACATCATGTATTCGTTCACAAAGATGACCGCATTAGACGTGTCGTTGACGACAAAGGCTGCTTGCTTAACTTGGCGCAAGATGCCAACCCCGTCATATCCAAAAGACGATTCGACGCTCAAAGGACAAAAGAGACTTCAACAGCAGCAAGCCAATGCCAGATTTTCAAAAACATCCATGGGCGAGCTATCTTGTCGCCTAGCAAACGGCTTTGTTACCGTGAAATCAAATATTGCGAGCCCGAATTCATGAGATCATCGAGACTAATTTTCACTGTTTCTTGAGAAGTGTTCATAACGAGCGCGCGGGCGTCTCGTAGGTGAAAAATCTCACGAATACATGTTCTCGTGTTACCAATCTCGAAGAATCTAAATTTGATAGCTATTGGGCTCAGTGGCGGCATCATTAACTACCATGGGAAGAACAAATTGCTTCTGTGAGACGGCCTGGGACGTAATAGAGATGCGACTGTTCTCAGTGATTCTTATTAGGCTACTTCCAATTTCTCTAGTCCTAGACCTACGAGCGCTGAAACCTCTTCTACAGTAGTAAAAAGATAACAAAATTTCGGAAAAGTCCTTCGGCAACCGTGGAGAATCTCATATGTCCAAACTTGACGTGAAGAATCGGGGTGAACTGTGGCAACGATCTTCTGAGGGCCATCGTTGTGTCGAAGAATGATCTCTGCTCCGAATCTGGTACAGAGTCTATCATGTCGAGGGAACGGTATATCGGTCAGACGCACCAAGACAGAGATTTTTTGTAGACTTGTCGCTGCAGAAAATGAGTAGGGGCAGGAGACATGTCTTCCAACACCGTTCGCTCCGATCTTGTCAATTTGGTTCAAACGTAATCGGGACTCAGCCGAACCAAGCAGAGCCGCAGGTTCAAACTTGATCGAGCTCATGGTATTACCAGCTTAATTCTCCGTGATATATGTACTTGGAGCACAGGCGAAATTATCTCCTTTGTATGAGTGTGGCTGCGCACATGTAGGGTTCCTGATACAATATTTATCATTATGATGCTCAATGCCTTATGATCCTTTTGCCCATGTCTCGGCAGTGTTCGGCCACTCTTTGAGTCACACTGCTAATCAATGCCAGTCCCTAGAACGAGGCTGATACGCGGACCGATGATAACAAGCATTTTCAGGAGGCGAATTACAGTACACATGTATGTCGCAGCAACATGAGTTCGCCGAGCAATCGAAGCGCTCCGATGGTGATGCCGCTGTCAAGCTAACCAATATGCTCGAGGTAGATGCTGTGCGGCTGGGAAAAGCTTATGACTTTGATGGAAAGCTAGACAAAGCCGGGAGATATGTACATATGATGTGAACGGCCACACATATTCACTTAGCAGCACACCTGTTTGGTGCCAAACCGATTATTCCCCCCCTCCGCCCCGGTGAAAGGAATTAGAAAACAAAGAGAAGAGCTCGATTACTCTCTCGTGAGAGGTGAACCAACCGATAAGCAAATACTACGAGGTATATAATCCCAACCTATCTATATAACGTGGCGTTAGATCTTGATAACGGCTTAACGGCCTGCAGTGTTGGTGGCCAGGGGAACACCACTTCAGTGCGCGGATAGCCTCCGAAGAAACACATACCGAGACGGCACATGCGCGTGCGGAGGCGAGGCACACCGCCACCGTTCAGGCGCCCGTAGAGGTCAACCTCGAGCGAGACGTGGCGGTCGATGTCGTTAGTGTCGTGAACATCGGAGCCCGGGGCGCGGAACCAGGCCGAGGTGAACACATATACAGGTGCCGGGTATAGTTCGTCCTCGTATCCTTCCCCATTAGACCACAAAAAGACGGCGCGGTACGGTGAGAACCTCCCTGTCGGGTCCCATATACTGCCCAGCCTGAGCTTCCGGCCCGCCTGAATCGCAGTTGCTAGTTCTGTTGCCATACGGAGGAAATACATCTCTGTAAAGTTCATGGAGCCTTCTCCCGCCTCGGAGTCGACAGCAAGGTACCAATCGATACACTCAGCAAGGTCACGATGCCTTAATTTGAATAAACAGATCACTAACTGCAATAGGCGCTTCCGATGGTCCAGTTCTAGTCGGCCGTTCGGTTTTCTTATTCGAGGGGGCCTCCGATGAAACATTGAGGTGTCAATAATGCGGCCTAGTTTCCATAGATGCCCATTCGTCGAGATACCCTCCGCTGTTAAGTCCACGCTGGTTAGTCGGCAACCCTTGTTGAATGTAAGCCTCCGAGTGATATCTATAGGCGGAGCGAATTCTTCACATAGGTATCGTTCGAGGTATTGTGATATAGTCAGCGGAGTCATTTGGTCTAGGCCGTCGTCGTCATTGTTGAGTATCTCGCCATTGAGCAAGCACATGGCCAGTATCGATAGACTCAGGCTGTGGCTCTGCTGTCTGAGTGCTTCTCCGTCCAGCCGCACCGAGTATTGACAGCAATTTGCAAGAATGGCCAGTCGGTCCCACGGCTTCGTCAACCCGCGCGCCTCGATGTCGGCGACCACTGTTGGTGTCATTGCGCTCGATTCGGGCAGAATGAGCGCATACCTCCCAGCCGCCCGGAGCACCCGATCGATCCAGCAACGCTCGTCCGGCGAAATTTTTCCTGCCACTCGGCGAAGCGCCAAGCACAGCCTTGTCGCCTCCGTGGAGAAGGAGACGGATCGTATGCATAGCTCGCCGGGGACTTTACCAAACACCTTGAGGCGTCGCTTCTGCTTCTCTAGCGACGGATTGTGGGTAATGAGTAGCCGCATCTTTTGCCCGCCACGGTAGTTTTCCTGGAAAGTCCAGGCGCGGGTCCACCACGTATCTCGGGTGATCTCGTGGAGCAGCCACAAAGCCTTCCTCGCCTCGGCAATGGTGACGGCCCTCGAGAGCCGAAGTATGGAGTTGTCGACGAACTCGCTTGAAAGGATTCGGGCGAGCAGCTGCAGCTCGGATGCAAGTCGCAAAGGGCGTCCCAGAAGAGCTACAGGGTGCTTGCTGAGCTGGTAGACGAGATCCATTGCTTGTAGTGCATTGCGCTTTTCAATGCAGCTGGTGTGGCGGGTGCAAGCGGCAGCGCCGCATGTGTCTTGACGGATGCAGAGCGCGTCGATCCAGAGAGCCTGAACTTTGACGTAGCGCGTGTAACTGAGAACGCGGCCAAGGACGCAGTCCCGGACTTTTGAAGGGCTGAGATAGTTTCCAGCCCAGTCCTCGACGCTATAGTATCCGAAATCCGGATCTTCATAATCCGAGGGTTCCCAGGTATAGGACAGTGCAAGATAATTTTGCTGGAGGAAGGCGTTGATAGACGTACGGCGCAAGTGTATCCCGTCCGGCCAGAGACATTGGAGGCATCTGACGAAGGAGAGAAACTTGGTATGTTGTTCTTGATTGCGCTCGCTTCCTATGGCGACGAGCTGCGAGACAATGGATGCTCGATGGTGTACGCTGAGTTCATGAAGCGATTGCTCCTTGTCGTCATCAATACTAGGACTCATTGTTTCTTGAAAAATATAGGCCAGGTCAAAGACGAAGACTTTTAGGATGTGTAAACGGAGGGTGCTCTGCGGTCAGATTGAGTCCAGCACCATGTAGGCACTCGCCTTGGAACCCGACGTACTGCACGGACACGTCACCGTGCATCTGATCGATTTGGTCACTTGTACATATCAGCGTGAAGCCTCACTGGTTCGCGATACCATACACTCACGGCGAGGCCGCTGTCGAGGCAGCTATAAACGGCGGCACTTGTTGCGAGACTTTCCTTTTTTTATTGAGTAGATTTTCAGAGATTCCACAGGGTCTTTGGAGGCCTACCTTTGATAGGGGACAACGATTAAAAGCGGGGTTACTCAAGTCTAAGGTGGTGTACAGCGGCACGATAAAATGGTGAAGAGGCACCCCGATACGGTCCCACAATCACTTGTGGTAACACGGATCGCCATTGAACACCCTTCCAGGTGCCGCAATTGTACTTTATTGGCTGCCGTTGTTTTTCTGTCCACAATTTTTCCAATTCACTAGAAGCTTTGACCGCGGGCTCATCGAGTCTTCCCTGACACATCGAGATGAGCTCGCGCTTCAGCTCTTGGTCCTGAACTGTGAAAGTCAAAGCCTGGCGTAGCCAACTCTGTACCATGGGCGAGTCTTGCACACAGTCGATAATAGCCTCATGCTCATGATATTCACGACTTTTGTGTCGTTTGCCTCGCGACATATATCCAAAGTCAGTCTGTGCCATCTACAACGTGCGCGCCATGAACTATGTTGTTAAAACACCTTTCGAAACAGCTCTTGTTGCTCTTACTTCCATGAGTAGCAGCGTTGACAACTCTATGACATGGACGCCTTGGTGATACGGCCATGGGGGCCAAAGAGGAGCGCGAGGTCCTGCTTCAGCCTTTGTCTGCTAAGAAGCCTGCTGAGATTTCAGACCTGAGCCATCAACTACTCATTGTGATAGATATGTATGCCGCACTAGACGCCTGTTCTTGGTCGTGGTTCAGTCATTCCCCGGTCGCGCAAAGATACACTCAGGAGCTGGAAGGACGTCCATCACATACTGGCGCTGTTTTTGCTAGATGAGAAGAGAGGACGTCCGCAGGAAGCGCCATGATGATGGATACTTTCCCCTGCGTGACGAGAATGATGGTCTCTGCGTCTGAATCGTTCAAAAAAAGATTCTTTCTCAGCGTGCGTAGTTGAGTACGTATCGCCATTCTATTTGTAGACGCATTGGGTCGCTACAGTCCATGTCCTACTCTCCCTGCACGCCCATTCAAACCAATGGCTATCCTCCCAATATCGGGGCGACAATCGATCGGTCCCACACATACTGGTGCCACGCGTCATTGTCTATGGCACTGGTCCTTGGCCAGTAGCAGCCTCCCATTTCCTTAAATTCTCCTCCGCTGGTTCCAGCTTGCGAATCTGAACATGCAGTGGAGGCAGGTTCACCTCCGCCCGAGGTGGGAGACACCTCGGTACGAGAGTGAGGAGAGGTACGAGATTTGTTGGTGCGCTGGCGAGGGTTTGGAGCCAACGATGCCGCCGGGTGTGGCTGTTGGTGTTCGATGGTGGATTGAAAATCCGGGGAATGAGGCCATAGCATGCGATACGATGCAGGTCAGAGTCTGAAAAGGAGCGTGTGACAGTGTCGGACTGGCATTGGAGTATACTCTCGTCGACTTGGAGGCTGACCGCTGCGCTCGGCCTTGCTTGTTCACGAATGGCCAGGGATTGTCCAAGACACCTTTATTCATGCCATCCGGGTAGGTGTACGGGGCGCGGAGGGCACAGATCGTGTCCGTCGTACACAGGGAGTACACAAGAAGCGGCTTCGCCCGTGCAGTGCGTCAATTCCAGCGCCACAGCTTCCGCCAAGCATCACGGTCATCGACTACCTGCGGACCCCGCGTCGTGCCTCGCTTAATGGTTAGGATGAGCGTTTCGGCGGGTCTAGTGGTCGGTGGCCGCGTCAGGCCGGTAGCTGTACGCGGAACCCAGTGAGGATGGGCAAATGCGTAGCGGGAGTGGACGCCGTGGCCCAGACGGCGGAGGTGATTTGTCGTGTCAAGAGCCTTGGCTACGCTGCGTGCATAATATTGCGCAAAGTCCACGGCCGCAGCGTCTAGAGCGGTGGTCAATGACGTTACTGTCTTTTGATCGCGCTGAACGTCTCGGCAACATAAGACTTTGCTTGTGACTATGTGATTCGTGCAGCACACTCGCTTCAGCTTCTCCGTCATTATTTGCGCATGGCTGTTGAGGTACCGAAGCTGTTGGGAGACGTTCATCCGCTGCACGGCCAAGTCCAGCACCGCGCCAACCTTCAAGCTCCAAGACAGATGGTACGCTGTCGACGACGTCTCATAGGCCGACTTGTTCTTGCGGGTGTGTCGTTTGAACTTTTCCTCCTTCGCGGCGTCCAAGATTTCGTAGACCTCGTGATTGAGGTGGGCCTCTGAGACGGTCTCCATCTGACTGAGATGCTAGAGATAGAGCCACATGGCGTCCCACTCCCATTCTCTCCCTTGACGTGCTTCGAGATCTTCCAAATCATAACGTAGATCGAGCAGAATCTATAAGAGACGCAGGGGGGCTCCGTGCTGCAGTTACCGGGACGCGACGTTCCCTAGGGTCTCGGCGGATTGCGTTAGATCCATACACAAGTCTCCAAGTCTGTTCATCCTCTCGCGCTCTTCGCCGTCGTCGAGACGGCCGAGGCCAGGGGCTATGTGATTGCGCATCGCGCGGGCGAACTCGCCGTCCTCAGCGATGGGATCAGCCCACATGCCATACCTGAAGAGTCCGTCCTCGGTCACCAGACCAGCGCATCCCCTGTGCCACGCACGCAGCGTCGTGCACAGCTCGTCGAGGTACTGCGTCGCATTCAATATGGCGCGTTGGAAAGTATATGTCTCTTTGCGAAGGGAGGGAGGTACAGCAGTGACCGCGGTGGCGAGTTCTATGAGTGGGCGGGGGATGTCGCCGAAGGTTGCAGGTGAGGGTGCCCGGCGATGGTCAAATTGGATGAAACCGAGGGTGATGGAGGAGAAGAGCAGGATGCCCGTGAGGATGCCTGTGAGGTTGCCAGTTATTAGGAACCGGGCCTGGCCATCAAACGCTGGACGATGAAGGTCCAAGCATAGCAGCTCCACGCCCCAAAATTTTTGTGAAAAAAACAGGGGGAGTTCCATGTTTAGCTCATATAATCATATGAGCACCTTCTTTCATTTTCCGTGGCATTTGTATTACAGCTGCCCTGAGCATGGTCAGCGTCTGGCTCACATGCACCAGCGCCCTGACACTTTGCACCGCCTACGGATACTGGTGGACTGTCAGCCAGCTCCGCCAGCGACTCTCCCCGATGCCAAGATCGATACTGCGTTTAGTAGCACTGAAGGCCGCATGCAATGAATCGAACGTTTGTGTCGAGGTTGTCGCTCTCGTGATTGTGGGAACAAAAGGTGTAAGAACTTGGCGAGATGACCCGTAGCCTACCTTACCTTAGGGTAGTCGGTCGCGGACGGGCGCAATTTGAGCCTACCCTAGGCCCAAGTGGCAATCTGCCCATGGACCATGACCCTGAACCTGATCAGACGCGCAGTACAACCTAAAATGACAAGCAATGCGAGATAGAGAAGCGGATCGCTCATAAACTCGGGGAACTCGATTCTGAGACGCGCACGTTAGGGATGAAGCCTGTGACTGATGTGTATTTGTTGGCCGCATTGCGTCGTTTAGTCCTGCCGGAGACCTTCATAAATGCATTGCGGTTCCGAGCGTTTCTTGAGAGACTGGCAGCCTCTATATAAGAGGACAAGAAGATGTTTTTAAGGAGCGCATGCTCACACGGCGAACGGCAGAATGCTATCTGCTTGAGCTCGATCTTGTTGTGGTCTTTGTGAGCCAGGCCGGGCGAATGCAATCCACAATATGACACGCCCCTCCTTTCAGCAGAAGAACGTCCGCCCCTTTGTCCTCTGGCATTAGGGCGCGTAGGCTGACGGCCGAAATACGCAGTGGAAGGAGAGGGAAATCATGAGAACATGACAATAGCGAGTGACTGGGGCCTACAGTGTTCTAGAGCACAGCTACAGCAAGACGAGTACCACGTTTCTCGAATCCTGCGCATGAGATCTTTATACGTTCTAGTACGAACAGATAATGCCCTTCTGGAACAAATATATATTCATTACAGTCAAGTAAGCAGGAGTCATTCTGAGCTGACCTTGGGCTGTGTGTATAGTCGCCAGCCTCAGCTCTATACCATGTCCGTCTGCAGATGCTCCCATACCGCGATGTGGCCCTCCAATGAGCCAGTCGGCAAGTAGTATACCTCTCTTTTTCTTAGTGAGCATGCGACCGAGGTGTCTCTGTATCCTACCGTTCCGAGGCACACTGCCAAATATGGCAGGCTTGGCGAGGCTATGATCCCGGCGACCTACTGCCCGCTGAAGAAAAGTCGAGTGACGAAAGTGTAGAGCTTCAAACAGAGCGGCGACGCGTCGTCGCGGGAAGACTGACAACAGCGTGCCATGTCGTTGGAAATCGGGAGTTTCCGGACATCCTCTCGACAAGCTGTAGAGGTATGAGGGGACAACGACCACAGGAAGCGCAGCCGCACCAACTCGGGTGGCGAGGCCATGACGTCCTGGACTCGTGCCCAGATCCAGAGTCAAGAAGGACTGCCGAGTGCAGGTAGCAGGCGGACTGAACCTCGCACGTGAGTGGGAGTCACAATGCCTCCATTGAAGCGTTCTTTGATGCGCGGGCCTGACACAACAGAGGTTGTCGAGACTTGCTGCACTTCGCTGGGCCTATCCAGGTGGCAACCCCAAAACCTCCTCCTGGAACGCAGGCCAATACTCCCGTTCCAACCAGTCTAACAGACATCGCAGCGAGGCAACGATCTTGCAGACCCCTTGCTCATCGGAGGTGGACCCCAGGTGCATCCTGGAGTAGAGTGTCGGCTTGCTTGTACCCCCGGTGAACGGATCGGGTGAGTGCTGCGGGGGGAGGGTCGCGACAAAGTACCACTCGTGCCCGCTGATGATGATGCCCGGCAAGAACTCGACAGCGGCCCGGTCGGGAGGATGGCGGCGCATACTCCTCCACTGCGCAGCATGCCAGGTCCCCATCTGCACCTCCGCCTCCAAAGCGTCTCCCTCGCGGCTCTTGACTTCGACGGAGAGACCAATCGGGTGGCGGCACAGCGAGCCAGAGTCTGTATGGTTGATCGAGTTGCCGGGGCGTGTTTTGCTGAGCTCCTCGATGCGGCGGTCGACGCGGCTGCCCGGGTCGGGCTTGAACACCAAGCAGCAATCGACCATCTTGGAAGGCAGTGCCAACCGGTGGAAGTGAGGGTTGATCCTGCTGGAGGTGCTGCACCAGACCGGTCAGTATGGGTACGGCTGGGAGGCTGGGGACGAGGCATAGCAGCTATCATGGACATACCTAGGCCGTAGATCCACGAGACCGGCTGTGTCATTGACGGGCCGAAGCACCCACAGGAGAATGCGGTAATACACCTCGAGGCTCCAGACGCACTCTGGCTCGCCCTGCATATCGCATTCGACGGCGCGCGCGGTGACACGTTTGACGAACGCTGCGAGGGACACGTCGGGGCGCGCGGGGGATGGGGCTTCCACACCCTCTCCCTCGGAGCAGAAGTAGGTCCGTGGGATTTCGAGCTCTTCGAGACCCTCCTCCCACCACGCGTGCGGGAGCTGGGTGCCACCATTTCCAATGTCCCTCAGTCTCCGAAGGACGTTGCGCAAGCCCCCAGGGAGAGCCTCTCTCTCACGTGTAAAGGGTCGCCGGTGGTAGCCTTCGTCATCCAGCTCAGCTGCGCGAAGCTGCTTGGTGGGAGACGAGTTTCTGGAGAGGGATGACGACGCGGATCGTTTCGAGGAGGATCTGCTGGACGGCGTGCGACTCGGAGACGGCCGACTCGGCGGGGCCATCTGGACGCTGTGATACTTCGAGGGCGCCCGAGGCGTCATATCGGCCGCATCCTCCGCGCCGTCGCTGTCGCGATTGTGGCCGTCCATCGCGTGGGAGGCTTCCGGTTCCGTGTTGGGCGGAGACAAAGCCTGCCTCTTTCTGGGCAACAAGTCGATACCCTTGGGATCGCAAAGTCGTTTTCGGTCGTTTGACAGTGTTGGCGCGTCAAGGATTCCCGCCTCCTCACCCCGCTGTCCAGAAGCCTCGCAGTCCTGGAGCCAGCCGAGGATCGTGTAATACTGCTCAATCGGGTATGGCAATTCTTCGGGCATGACCTAATCGTGGGTGGCAGCTCGTGGCGGCGACCGGATGCGTACAATGCGGCGAGACTGCGCGGACGAGTTGAGCATGATGTTGATGCTGGTGTCGACGTTGTTGATCGTTGATGGCAGGGTCATTTGCCGTCGTCCGGACAACCAGCCACAAGTGGCTGACACCGCATGCGCCCCGCTTATGTAAGCAAAATGAGGCTGGTGCAACAGTGGGGCCGTGAAAAGGTTCACGACTCCTGAGCCTGGGTTCACCATGTGGGCTATCCGTAGACGCTTGACAGACGATACGCTCCATTATTCAGCACCCCTGTCCGCGCTCCGCGCGCTACTTGCGTCGGAGAGCGTGTCGCTGTGGCCTGCACGCAACACCCGCGACGCGACGTGGGTGACGCGACTCACCTCGCGCGACCTTGTTAGTACGACGCCACAGGACCATTGCAACGCCCTTGGCCTCTAACAGGCGACTCTGGAGACCGTGTGCCCATGCAGGGATCCACACGACAGGTACCTGATTCTCGTCACGCAGCGCGAGACACTCTGTCATCGACGAGCGATCGACCACCTCTGTACTGCCAACCTCTTCACCTCGGCGGCTCGACCCGATGCAGGCAGTCATAGAAGCCGTCGCGAAAAAACGCGAACCTTTCGTAGGTACATATTTACAGAGAATCACATCGCCATAGTCCTACTAGCGTAAACTAGCACCAAGTCAATCCTTCATCGTCTTCCCGAAGCATAACCGTAACCGCACTCAATCCCAACGCCCCTTTACCAACCACAGCCCGAACCCTCTGCATAAATGTGTCCGCAAGATCTGTCGAATCTTCCTTCACCCGCATCCATGTCCGCAACGGTGGTCCTGCTTCGCCACGGCCACGCTCGAGGCTACGCCTAGAAGGAAGCGCCAGCAACCGCTACGCCTGAACGAGTGACGGGGCTTCAAGGGCTTGCTAGCCTTGTCGTGGCGAATGGCCGTCGGGGCCGGCTGCCCCGTGCGACTCAGGCGAGGCGAGCGGAGCGCATCGTGGAGGGAGAGAATGTCGTCGCTGTCGAACCCCTCCTCGTCGATGGTCTTGTCTCTGGTCGGGCGGGTCTTCCTCCCACGGTCTGTGTTTGCTCCGTGAAACCGGACATTCAGTCGCTCCGGAGCCTTGGCGGGCTGGTCGAGATGGACGACGGCATCGGCGATGGCTTCGCTATGGCTAGCGCGGCAGCGCTGACTGTCGCGGTCGGTCGGCATGGTCTGTTGGCGTGCTGGCTCAGTGTCCGAGTTATTCAAAGACGGCGAGAGCGATGAGGGATAGGACATCTCAACGCCTCCTCGTACCGGCCGGGCTGGTGTCTTTAAGGCTTCTGGTTCTGATGAAGCTGGAATTGCGAGATCTGTCTTCTAAAAGCAGCTCATGACAAAGGCGACATGCGGTTTAGAAAGCATTATAGTCCTATCAGGCCGAAAGGCTATCGTCATTGACAGCCTGCGAAGCGATTCTAAAGAGCAGCGCTGTCGACTGACAGCTCACAATATGGAGCGCCACACAACCCGCTCCAGCCATTGCAAACCACATCTCGTCGCTGCTTCATTGGGACGGTGCCTTTTGCGCGTCGTGATTTTGTGATGATTCGATCGCCCATGGTACAGGCCACAAAGCTGCGCGCGCCAGTCTCGTCCCCAGGGTTCTCCCAGTGTTCCGTTTGGCGACTGAGCCGCATGCACTGAACGAAATGGCAGGATGGTGAGGCGTGTAGTTGGCGCTCGACGTACTCTTGATCGACCACACTCGAATGACCTGTGCACTTCCCACAGGGTACATGTCCCCAACAACCTCGGTCAAGTATTGTGAGGCCTCACCCAGATGATAGCAGAGCTGCCGAAACCAAAGCGTCTTCCGGAGCTCATATCTATAATAGACATGCCTGTTATGGCATCCTTGTCTCACGTATCGACATGACACTCGACATGACAACCTCACACCTGTACGCGGCGTGGTGTCCTTGGCGCATGAAGGACTGCAGATCTTTGGTATGACTTATGAACAGTGAGCTCACGGAATCCGCGGCGAGTGTACGGCAAAAAAATGACAGGCTTCCACAAATTATCATGTGCAGGCAGTTTCACCTCGACAGTAGTGGAGAATTGATATGGACAACGAAGTTGACTCATTCACTGCGACCCTCACATACCCAGTTCGTTGCCATATCAGAAAGCAGGCCCGCTGGTGCTGCTGTGGGAAGAGGTATCGAGCTGTCTGTTTCTCGGATGATCGATTTGACGCCAAGGAAGTCCTGGTGTGCCTGTAATAAAGAATGACTAGTCTGACATTAAAGCGTAGTAGTAGGAGCGTAAGGCACGAAGACCACTAGGCGGGAAAGTTCCATTTCACCACTTTTCAATTGACGTGTTAGACTGTCCGTGGCTCAAAGTTCATTTTGCGGTTAATTGAGTCTTTGCAGAATCGCTTTTCGGACGAAGATTGTCTGTCAGCGAGACTAGAGGTACGTCAGCCGGCTGGGGCCGTGATGGCAGATATCCAGTTTCCGGACAACAGTAGCGCTACCTCTCGAGACAAATCCTTGACAGAGCACGGTTGCCATAAGAGGCAGAAAAAGATGTATTGCCGCATGTCAAAGCCCAACATTGAATGTTGTGCTCGTCTTCGCCCAGGGAGGCCGTGGCTTTGGGTCTGCACTCTGGGTCTCTCTTTCAGAGCCAAGGCCTGGGATATGTGACTGAGGCTGCATGTCGCGTGCGATGCGTGTATGGGCTTTGATCACTTCTTCTGGGAGCAATGGCTCTGCAGCCTGTGACTGAACATGGCAGTTTCCACGACACGCAGATGAGATCAGTCGCGCGACTTATTCAGGGGCTTTTCGTGCGCTTTTGGTACATAAAACTTTGTTTATTGCTGTGTGAGGGTATTGGCCGTCGTTGCCAGGCTGCGTAGATGCTCACTTGAGGCGAAAAATTGACACCTGGCACGGGCTTGCTTGTCAACAACCCAGCACAGTGTAAAAAATTTGCATCGGTGCGGCGAACGCAAACGCGCGGTATCTTGCATACTGGTAATGCTCGGTACCTCTGTCAAACACCTTGTTGTATCGCGGTCGCGAGTCTTCAGGCCCGGGCTGACTGAGACTGAGCCTCTTTGGTTTGTGCTCCTGGTCTCAGTAAAGAATCGCCGTGAGAATTTGAGCGACCGTCTATCTCGCAATGGCGCGGAGCTCTTCAATTCGAAGATAATGTAAGGTCGAGTCTCTTGCCTTCCAGTGCGCCACGATCCAATCTCTCGCCAAGAGCTTCTATTTTGGCCTCCTCCACGCGATATATTTCCCGCGACACTTAGGTGTCGTTGCTGCAGTGCTGAACAGCCGATATCTCTCTAGCACAGAAAAAGAGCAGCTTTTTGATGTTGAAAGAGGCAGACAGATATGGAGTTCGCGTTGATAGCATGATCGAGCACGAGCATGGGCAGGGACAGGTCAGGACAGGGTCCGAAGTATTGTTTCGAGGACGAAGGCAGAATGATGAAATCTTTTGAAGCGTAGCGACCACATTAGGGCTGGAGCCTCTTGGTTGACCTGTCCGAATCCTGTCTGGCTATCCGAGCGAGACCAAATGTACATGGCTCGCAAAGGAAGCCGGTGCTATCGCACTCTCCACAACGTTGGTAATGGTGCCATGAAAGATCAATGTCCTTGAGACTTTTTGAGGAGCTGCGTCAGCAGAATGCGTCCTAAGTCGAAGGCATGGGCGACAATGCCAAATGGCGTTGCGATATGTAGTTGCGGCACTATAGACTAGCACATGCGATAATCGGGTGGAAACGCAGTAAGGAAGAGCTCGCCATCGCCAGTCAAGAGCATTCTGTGCTTTGCAGAAGCACAAGGACGTCGGCCCTTCAAGGAGACAGAGACTAGTGCAATGTCCAGGTTCCAGAGGCGCATATAGGTAGATCGAGTACTCTGTGGTCCCCTTTGCCCTGCGTCGATTGGCGAAGGACAATGAGATGGATTGTTGGATTCAACAATGGCCATGCTTGCGCTGGGCCCTCTGGTGTCCAAAGAATAGTCTGGCACTGCCGGCAGGACTGCTGCTCGATTGAGGCGCGAAGAAATACCGTCTTGCAGGTCTTTCATGTTTTGGACATTCCCAAAATTGTTGATGGCGCCCTGGAATTCTAGGACAGCGAATGCAGATTGCGCAACATCTTGTATCCTCCTTCGATAGCACAGCGTTGTAGGCTGGCCCTTGCTAGGTTAAAGGCTCATGGTATCTTGACCCTGCGTCATGGGCCCCCAGCATTCGAGTATGCTCTGCGGGAGGCTCCTTTACAGAGTTTCTAAGGCAAAGAACAGGAATTCACTCAATCCATAGCGGAAACGTCGCTGCGCAATCTGGCCAGAACAGAGGACGACACCAGAGCGAGGTCCTACTCGAACCGGCTCTGCAACTATGGCCGATCCCATTTGCTGGTGCCGTTCCCGCGTTGCTGATACGCAAGAGTCCACAACAGGAGTGTGATATCTTTCTCAGTAGACAAGGAAGTTCGTTGCGCGTTGTGGCAATGTGCCTAGGTTGACTCTTTGTAAAGTCTACCTCCACGTCTTACCGCCTAGACCGCTGCGGCTCGAACAAACGGCATGCATCGAGCTGCACCCGGTCCGGAAGTAGAGAGCTTCGTTTGTCCTTGAGAGTAGTTTGGATTCGAACCGAGAGTCTGCAAGTAGATGCAGTGGCGCTGAATGGGGTGTAGCACGGCTCAAGGTTCATCCTCGACGATATCTCATCTCTGTTGGCGGCGCTGGACTGTTCTTCGGGACTTGTCAAAGGTATTTTGACCTAATACGATCTACTCTTCGACGCACCTTGCGCAGCCCTGTGTTGCCATGATGTGGAAGTGGCGCCAGAGAAACACTATGCAAACTGGCGGCGAGCTCAAGTTGCCACAGTCGGCGGAGGCGCAGCTTCTGTTTTGGAAACTGCTCAGCTTGCCTTTGTGAACAAGGAGATTCCACTAGGAAATCTGCGACTGGAAAGAGATGGCCTGTAGTTGGAAGGCCGTCGCAGGAGAAGGGCTCAGTCGTGGCTCTAAAGCATTTGAATCAGCGCTCGAAATATTCGTCGCCAGGGACAGAAGTGTGGAACAGTGCCGCGCAAGAAGTCGAGCGGCCTTTGAGCATCACTCGTACCTTGTCAAGCGTACCGCTCCAAGGTGCGGGAGGGAGACGTGTCGGCATTGCTTATTCAGATACCGTAGCGAGTTTCGAAACTCAATCATCTTTGGCGAGACTCGAGGGCCTGGTGTTACGACCCAACATGCGGCCTTCACGTGCTTCGGGCACCCCCTACTTTTTCCCACCATTTATAGCACGATCATCACTTACACAAATGATCGCCCCCGCGATCATTGCGATTATCACGAATCGCTACGAACAAGCAGATAGATCATTGCCGGGGATAATAATCGCCTTAGTATATAGGAAGCCTAGCTTCATTATAGTTAGTCTTTACTAGCTCTCCTTAGCTATTAATATAATTATCTACGTAAGATCTACTATCTCGCATATAGACTATAACCCGACCGCTTAAGTTAACGATATCCTAGTATACTTAGTTTAATAACCGACTTCTATTCTATCTACCCGGTAGCTAGTCTAGACCCGAATATTATATATTAATAGCTCTTATTTAGTATACTACTATATTAAGTACTTAAGTAATACGATACTATAGCTAACGAATCCTCTAAGACTAAGGGTAAGCACGCCGAACCTATCTAACCCCCGCCGGAGGAAGATATCGGCATAAACTCGGATAAGTCCGAGGATAAGGCTAATATCCTCTAAGGCTAAATTTAAGAACTTAGGGGATAACTATAATAAGTCGCTAATATATAGACTCGCGATAAAAAGTAATACGATAAGGTATATCGTAACTTTAACGAAGGAATAGCCTTATAGTAGGAATAGAACGCGTAATTAAGAAACGAAATAAATAATATAAGTAATAATATTATTCGCTAAGTTATTAGTAAGGACCTAAGAGAGATTATAAAGCTACGCTAACTAGGATTATTCGATAATATAACTAAGGACCTTTAAAAATTCCTAACTTAGGTTAGAGCCTATTAGTAATATTTTCCCTCTATCCTAAGGATAGAAAAGGATAAAGTATACTATATAGCGGGATATCTATCGGGAGCCGCCTTAGCTTAGTTCGAGCTTATACTTCGGGACTTTATA